ATCAGAAACTGTATTTTTGCACAACACGAGTAAAAGCTAGAAAACATTCCATGAAATTTAGATGATTATGTTGAATTTGACACCATAAGAATGGAGATGTAAGAAGATTCATAGTTGGGGGTAGATGTAATTATCCAAACATGAGGGACTTTTTCGTAATCTGACCATACCTCAGGAGTGATTGTAATTTATCCTATATATTATATTGTGTTGAGCATTAATTATTTTTTTTGTTTAATTTGTGTTGTTATGTTAGTGTTGATGAATCATCCGCCGATGGCGTTGCCGATCCCACATGAAGAAATCTTTGACGATGGGCTCGTGCTCATCCTCAAGTTTACATCCTTCAAATTCGATGCTGGAATTGTTGGTGCTCGTAATACGCAGCGATCCGATTAATAAAGCAAGTAAATTTTTTTAAGCAGCCTTATTTTCGGACAGTTTTCTTCTCTTTTCAGACAAGTTTGGCAAGAATTTGGTTTTCTTGAAATGTATTCATTGAGTACTTAGATATTGCATTTTGTAACACATGTTTGAAAAATGAGAGGAAAGATCCATTTACAGAAACAGAAATATTATACAGTTTTGATGCATTTCTTGATCCAGTGAACAAATTGTTCAGGAAAATTGTACTTAGTTAATAATGAAAATCTAATAAAATTTTCATTTTAATTTATCATAAGCCTTTTCTTCTATATCAATTTTCAAGGCTACATCATATTCTTTATAGTTGTATTAATTTTCCTATATAGTATGCAAAAGTTGACGAGCCATTACTAATTGAATTAACAAGGGCATTTGAAATAACTCTATATATATATAATATTACATAAACTAATTGGTGTGAAATGGTTATTTTTAACTCTAGCATTAAAATCTTATCTAAAAGTATTAAAAAAATTGTATTTTGAGAGTAGATTATGAATTATAGTGTATATAGCATGTAAACTTCAACTTCGTAAAATATCTGAGTTTTGGATACGTTTGTATCCGACACTCGAGGACACCTGTCGAAATTTTTTTAATGGGCCATTTTACAATTTCTGAAAAGTTAGAAACATGTTTAAATAGGAAATTTTCAAATATTTATGTTACTTCCCTAATTATTTACATGATTCATGATCAATTTCAAATTGATAGTTGATAATAATAATTATTTTGAATATATTTGTGTGGAAATATATATAAAAAAGAATTATATATAAATAAAATCTTATATATGTTAATATAGCATATTTATAAAGGGGCAATTTCCTATAGGTCCCTCTATATTATAATTTATGTGTGTAAATCCAAGTCAAAATTTAATGTTTTTAATAAATTAATAATATTTATTATGACAAAAATACCATTAATTAAATCAAATCAACCCCTAAAAATCTCTCTATCAAAACAAATTCTCAAACATCTTCCTTCCAAATATTAACTAAAACAAATAAATTAATTCATGACAAAAATATACAATTTATTTTACAAACTCATACTCTAAAAACGTCACCTCAGCCCCACCACCGCCTATGATTCGGGAACTGCGACGTCTATGATTCCGTGAACTGCGAATACCAAACTGAAAATTAGATTTTATATTATTGAATTACAAACAACAAAATACCTATGATTTCGCCAAATGAAAACAGCAAACTGAAAAAAACAAAATTCATAATTTGTATTACTAAATTACAAACAAAAAATTAAATATGATTTCGCCAAACGCAAATAGCAAACTGAAGAAAAACATTCACCAAAACTTGCATTATTGAATTGCAAGCAATAAACTACTTATGACTTGGCCAAATGCAAACAGCAAACTGAAAAAAAAAAAAAATCAGCATCATTAAAAACATCAACCAAAAAATTGTTTATAGAACAATTTGCAAACAACAAAAATATTAAACAAAATGTTTGTAATATGTAACTTAAGACATACCTTGCAAATTGTAAACCAGAGGAATCGAACCTCAACATCAAACGCAATTCTTCAAATAACAAACGAAATTAAACCAACTGCAAACGGAAATTGCTAACAACAAACGATGGGAGGTTCTACATACGGAAAACACAATGCGAATTTGGCTAGGATTTGGATTTTTGATTTTTTTTGGGAGGGGATGTTTGTCGTCCTCTTTTATTCTTTCACAAAGAAATCCTCTCATAATCTAAAAAGATCCTTGTTTTTTTCATCTCTATAATATTTCTTCATTAAAAAAAAGAAAACGAAAAAGAAAAAAAAAAAAAAAGAGAGAAGCACGAGAGAGAGAGAGGCGTGAGAATTGAGATGCAGGAGGAGAGATGATGAATTATATAGGGGGAAAGTAACGTGAGATTGGAGAGAGAGGATATATAAGATTTGTTTTCTTATTAATTGAGGGTGTTATGGTCTATATACTAATTATTTTAATTTATTTATATTAATTTATTGGGTTAAATGACCTATGCCTATATTCATCTAACAACAGGATCTCTAGCCATATAAGTCCATAATAAGGGGTGTCTAGCAAATTTCCCCATTTATAAATATATCACTATACTTTTAATTTACCGTGTTTTTCCAAATTCCCGTATTCCCAATTTGAGGACCTGCCGTTTTCTCGTGTTTGTTTTTTCATAACTCCGTTTCCGTGTCCGTGCCACGTGAAACGACACGAGAGAGTATGACATTTCTAGCCGCACGTGCACACTAAACCATCTGACATGTAGTTACATTTTTCTCATAATTATTGTGCATAATGCTTATATTTAACAATACAAATAACTAAATTAGCATTTCTACGAAATTAAACTACTACACATGCAAGCTAAGCATTTTGCCCCAAGTCCAAAAAAAAAAAAAAAAAAGAAGGAACAATCGAAATTCTCATTTTCCAGAATGAAAAATATTGTTATAGGATTAATCGGAAATTAGTTTCGTTACAATCTTCACCCCTGTAATTTTCCATGATTTTCTTTTTTTTTTGCATCACCAAAGTATTATGTCTCAATCATTTATTTCACTAGTCTAGATGGATCTCATGAATTCGGATTCAACATACACGAGTACAATTATAAGGGTAAGAAGAAGTTTTGCCCCTAATTTGCTATATGAAATTTTAAATTTTGTTTTAAATTTCATCTCTATATTTTTCATTTTTTTTCCTGCATTATCAAAGGATTATGCATGTTTTAATCAATTATTTCAACCGGCAACGGTAAATAATATGATAAATTACGGCTATGCTATGAAGTAAGGTTAAATTGTAAAAAAATCTCCCCTGCGGTAATTACAACCACCCAGGGGCGACCCAGGGGATATTTCTAGGGGGTTAGAATATGGGGATAAATTAAGAGAATTTTTATTTTTATGGACTAAAATGTATAAAATTGAAAGTTTGGGGAGCGAAAGTGCATTAATTACTATATAAATAACTAAAATAAATTTAAAAAGTTTAAAAAAATTTTATGGGAGGATACGCTACTACAACCACCCCTCAGGCCTCAACTATGAATCATCCTACACGTTCATTCTTATGGCGTCAAATTTAATAGAATTTTTTAGGTTTCGTGAAATATTTTCTAATTTGTACTCATTTTGTGCAAAAATGTAGTACCGCAATCTGATATTTACAAGTCAAGAAACACATTTTATAATCATCGCATTTCAAAATGCGGAACTCGAATGAGGTAAAACGAGTACAATTTGGTTATCTTTAACGAACCCTTTATATAATGAATGAAATATTCTATTCCTACAATTATTTTTTTATAAACTATAGACAAATAAAAACAACAGAAGAACATATATAATGTAAATGATTATTTGCATATTAATATAAATTAATGTGTTGTATGAACTTATAAGGTTTTTTTTCTTTTCTAAATTATATTTTTCTTGATTGTAAATATTGTTTTATATTATAAAACTAATATTTTATTACTTTGTTTTTTAATAAATTATAAATTATTTTTTCAACATACCTTTTTTGAATTGACTACACTGTTGACAAGTCATAGAAATATCAACATATATTCAGTAGACCATATCTTTTCAGTAGAGATTGACATTTGACAGGTTAATTATTACTGGCTACTTTTATTAGCTTCTGATCCTATAATTATGAAGCCTTCAGTAAAACGTCGCCGTTTTCAAATTCAATGCTCTAATTACATTTACATTCCAAGGTATATTAGAACCTCGTTAATTAAATATTCAATCAGTTAATAATTCCGTTTTCTTTTACAAACTTACTGAAATGATAATTACAGGATGATATTTGGTAAACGCAGATTATTTTTATAATTTTGATTTTTAATCACATCCCATTCATTTATCATCTCTTTAACTTTGTTATTGTGAATAATTTTTTTAGATTTCACTCTTCTAATTAAATTTATTACATTTAGTGTTTTCGAAGTTCTAAATTTAATAAGATTTTTAACTTTTAGAATTAAATTGAGAAAAATCACCTAAGCTCAAAAAAAATTCTTTAAATTGAAAAATAGAAGTTTTCACTTAGAGTGAATAGTTTTTCTGTAGTTTCTGGGAATAAAAACAAAAAAAAAATATTGGAACAATTCAATGTACGAAAACTTTACAAATCCAAGAAAAAACGAGCATCTACGGCAAACACTGATCTAAGTTATGCACAAAATTTAATAAACTCATATTTTGACGATTAATAATGCCATATTCGTAGATAAACGTTTGAAAAAAAATAGATGGAATGGATAGTTAATTTTAATTTATTAAATAAAATATCATGTGTTTATTAAACGACGTCATGTATTTAATATTTTCTCAAATCCTTACAATTTAATAATTTATTAGTATCGGTTGTCAAATAAATAATAAAAAAAAAAATCTAAGAAAGCCTCATCTCAATTCTCAAATACCCCATTTCCACCCCTTTATAATTTGCCCAAAATTTGAAAATAAATCCTTCAAATATTATACTAAAGTCGCTGAAGCAATAAAACCCGACTTCAACTCTATAAAAAAGCCCTTGCACCACCCCATATCCCCTCTACCCAAATTTCTCGGACTACCCAGGTTTTGTTTCTCTCTCTCTCACACACACAGCACATATTGAGTGTGTTTTCTCGACCACTATATATGCTTAACTGCACCCATTCTCCACTGTAATACCAAGTATTTTAACTTCTAAAACAAAAGACTTTTCTGTTGTTTGTTTGCTTGTTTCTTTGATTTGAATTTTTTGGTAATTTTTGTAGAGATTATTGGAAAATGTCGAAGAGGGGCAAAAAGAGCGATGACGAGGCACTGTCCGGAGGCGAAGAGCCACCGAAGAAGGTTTTGAAGTCCGGCAAGGATTCCGATGATCCCGACAGCGTTTTCATCTGCGAGGTTCATTTATTTACCCTCCATTTTAGGGTTTAATTCTGCAAATAAAATAAAATAAAAATTGCATCTTTATAATGGGGTTTTTTGTTTTGGAGTGTAGCTGTCGAAGAATCGGAAAGTGTCGGTGAGAAATTGGCAGGGGAAGACCATGGTTGATATTAGGGAGTTCTATTTGAAAGACGGCAAGGAAGTTCCTGGCAAAAAAGGTCTCTCTCTCTCTCTCTCTCTCTCTCTCTCTCTCTCTCTCTCTCTCTATTAGGGTTCATTTTGATTCATTCATTTTTATTACAATGAAATGTTTAAGGTTGGTGGTTATCTTCGAGGTGTTCTTGAATGTGACTGGTATATGCTAAAAATGTATAGTTACATAAATCTAATAAGGACTCGTTTGGTTGGAGAGATTTGTTATGATTAACTAAATAATAAGATTTTATTCGATGTTTGGTATTCACAATAACTTGCCGGGTCGACCCGCAAATATTATGTTATTATGGTTTATCTTGTCTTGTAGGTGTGTTTTTTATTGGATCGTCGAAGGTCTAATAATATAATTGGTTTCATTAGATTATTTTATCTTATCTTGGTTAAGCTTATCTCGGCAAACCAAACGGGGCCTTAGAAATTTAATATTGTTATGTATCTTGTTTCCCAATGTTGTTTCCACGTGCTTGTATTCTGACAGATCAATTTTGTGGCAAATATGAAACCCTGTTTTCCAATTCTTGAATTAGGGTTTGCTGCATCAAACGCTTCGGTTTCAACTATTTACTGGAAAACTGTTTTATAGTTGGAAGTAGTAAATTATAGAGTTATTACAATGTTGTAATATGCGATAAACGATTCGTTCTTCTCTAAAGGAATAAGAAGTTTGGAGTAATGCCGAGAGCTAATCTTGCTCGATAAATTACATTGAATGATAACTCTATGAATGGGTAACTTATCTTCGCATTCTATAGATAATCTTATTTACTATTGATTTGTACTTGGTAGAATATCTCAATTTCTTAATTGAGCCGATTTAGATGTAATTTTTAAATTTCAATTTTTTTTTTTAATTTGGATTAATTCAAATTTTTATATGTGATTACAGGCATATCGTTGCTCATGGATCAGGTAATCTTGCCTTATAAAAACCGAAGTTTTTTTTTTCTTTCCATTCTTAATATCTCGATTTCAGTATGGATCTTGTTATATGGTTTGGTCTCGTTTTGTTTGCAGTGGAAAATACTTAGAGACCATGCGGATGAAATTGACAAGCTGATGGCTGGTGTCGAAACATAATCTTGCTAAGGTGTTAATGTTTTTTTCTTTTTCCGTTCGTCTGAAATGAATTCCTAAGTAGAATGTAATGAGAGGGCTTGTATGTATATGTATGTGAACCCTCTTGCTTGACTTTTATGCTTTTGTTTAATATCCGAACGCTAGTGGCTTTTTGGTAAATCTCTAACTTCCGGTGGAGCGTTTTTTGATTTGGTTGCTCGGATTCCCGGATTGTACCTAGATTGAACATCAAGTATGTTTACTATGAAAGGTGTTTTCTTTGGATCGTTTAGTACTTTCTTTAACCTCGATTATGAGTTTGTATGGTTTCAAGCTGATTATTATCGTGCCGGGCGGACACAAATCAATCCCAAATATGCTGAAAATCGTACAAATCACTCCAAAATGTGCTGAAAAATACATAAATCAACTCTTAATACGTGGTGATAATCACACAAATTGCCCCTAAATGTGCTGAAAATCGCATATATCACTCTCAGAATAAATTTTGTAATTACCGTACAAGCACATCGCATATATCACTCAGAATAAATTTTGTAATTAGCGTACATCGTATTGCATTGCGATTTGTAGCGATATTTGGCATTATTTGATTACAATCGATACATATAACAAGTTGTAGAAATATAATATCGCGGTATATCACAATATTGACTTCACTGATTGTCATTATGTGACTTTTAATAATAACATAAATTAATATTGTGACTGACAAAAGTGTATTAATATAATGGAAATAACATGAATAGATTATTACGAATGATATTAATGAATCTGAAGATCCATTTTTGTTTTGTTTGGATTAATTTTTTTTTTTCTTTCAATTAAGGCTTCTTGATCTAATATTTTTTTCACTAGTCTTGTTTTAATTGCAGAGAAATTCAATACATGTGTATATATCTCGAAATCGGAGCAATAAAAAACCGGGTCCAAATGGCCAGAACACGGTCGAACCGGAAACTGATCATTGAATCTGTTTTTCATCAAAACGTGGCGTTTTAACATTTTATATTCTATAGTGAAACGACGTTTCACTATTTAGGTTCAAAAAAAACAACTAAATAAAAAAAAATTGCAGATAGACTTACAGGAAAACAAAATATACAAACCTCTTCTCATCTTTTGCACTCCACTTTCATATACATGTACTGAGGTTCTCCACCATCTTGCCGCAATTCGCCGCTGAAGCGGCACCCACTAGGCACCGTTGCTGTCATAACCGATAAACGGATATTTAAATCCATGAATAAGACGGCATCGTCCAACTTATATAAGTGTGGGCGCGCTTTTATGTTTCATCGTTTTATTAAGTTTATTAGTGAAAGTTAGAACGACGTCGTTTTGAGAAGATCAGAGAAGTAGGCACACCTCATCTGCATGGGAAGCACCACACACAAACCTTCTTTCCCTTACATGTTGGTAGTATAAGAAGACAAGGAGGGAGCTGACAACTTTGATCCATTTCCTGATAATTCTTAGCTTAATATAGATTAACTTTATATTCTAGAATTCTTCTTATCAACCCTAGAATATATAGAGCCGTCGCCATTGTTAAACTGAGGAGGTACCACTGTTGCAGGTTTTATCATTTTCAGAGCTTGAAGATTAAAGATAAGGTGGAGTTCATAACATTTGGTATCTAGAGCCACCGTTTCTGGTTATCCCCACCTTAAATGATGACTAGGAGTCATGTGAGAACAAGGTCAAGTGATAACACTAGATTTGATGCAGAAGTTTATTTAGATGAACAACTCGCTTTCAACAAGAGGATTCAAGGAGAGATGATTGAGATGCAAGCCGATTTCCAAGCTGAAATGGCTAAAAGAAGAGTGGAAACTAACCAAAAGATTGAAGATCTAAGTAAGCTGGTGGGAGAGCTGGTGAAAGCTGTCAATGGAAACCATGGAAAAGATCCTTACACTCAAGGTAATTCATTTGAAAATCCTCTAAGGTTTTCTGAATACACACACAATGCACAACACCAAATGCATGTAGAAGTGGAAAATCTTAATAACCCTGGTAGATGAGGGAAAAATAAAGCTGTCAAGGTAGAATTCCCAAAGTTTGATGGGGAATTTCCTAGAACATGGTTGAGGAGATGTCACATATACATTGCTTTGAATTCCTAGCTATATTTTTGGCATTACAGAAATGGAGAGCATATCTCATTTGTGGGACTTTTGTGATAAAAACAGATCAGAAGAGCTCTAGATATCTATTGGAACAAAAAATTTCTACACCATTACAGCATAAGTACCTAGCTTCAACTATACCAGAGAATATAAGAAGGGAACTGAAATAGTGCAGCTGATGCACTCTCCAGAAGAGAGAATGATGAGATATCATTGAATCAAGTGATAGTAATCCAACCTATGTGGTTTCAAAAGGTTATACAAAGCTATGAGAATTATGAAGAGTCATAGGAAATTATTGCTAATTGCTCCTTGAAACCATTTAATGTATTATTTTACCAGTACAGTGGGGAGATTCTAATGTTCAAAGGCAAAATCTTTGTAGGAAGTCAACAAGATGTGAGAAAGAACTTGATTGAGCAAATGCATGGAACAAGCATATGAGGGCACTCTGGAATCCAGAACACTTATCAAAGAATCCAATGAGTGTTTATATGGCCTAGCCTCAGAAGTCAAGTAAAATAATGGGTCAAGACTTGCCACATCTGTTAACTGAGTAAGCATGAAAATGTCAAAACACAAGGAGTTCTCCAACATTTACCTATTCCAGAGGGTGCCTGGACTTGCATTACAATGGATTTCATTGTGAAATTACCCAAATCTCATGGGAGAGAGAGCATATGGCTGATAGTTGATACGTTTACCAAGTATGGACATTTCATAGCTCTCTCACAACATGAGACAGCTTCTTCTCTGGCTCACATATTCATAAAAGAGATCTATAAGTTACATGGACTACCAAATTACATCATTTCTAACAGAGACCCCATATTCACAAGCCACTTTTGGAAAGAGCTAATGCAATCCTTAGGAGTGCAACAACAATTGAGCACTGCATTCCATGTTCAGATTGATGGACAAACAGAGAGAGTAAACCAATGTTTAGAATCTTACTTGAGGTGCATATGTGGTCAAATACCTAAAAAATGGAGCTCCTGGATTTTATTGGCTGAATGATGGTACAACACCACTTTTCATTCTACAATCCAAATGACACCCTTTGAAGCTCTGTATGGTATCAACCACCACAATTGGGATATGGTCCCTAATTGCTCAAAAAAACAGGAGTCAGAGTGTGGATGGAAGAACACCAAAGGGTTACTCAGCAATTGAAGAGATTGCTAGAAGAAACTCAAGCTAGGATGAAATTCTACTATGATCAAAGCAGAAGTGAAAGAAAATTTGAGGAAGGTGAGAGTTAGTCTATATAAAACATAAACCTTATAACAACTGAGCTTGAGGAAAATTCATTTATGGAAGCTCACTCCAAAATATTGTGGTCCCTTCCCATTCTTAAGAAGATTGGACCAGTGGCATATGAGCTTGGTCTTTGACAATAAGGTGCACCTAGTGTTTCATGTTTCACAACTAAAAAAACATGTAGGGGAAATGCTCAGGTATCTACCAATATACCACCCCTTGATGAAAACAACCAATTTCTCTTAGTGCTAGAAGAAATTTTAGAAAGAAGAATGATAAAGAAGAACGATACTGTCGTAGTGCAATGATTGGTGAAATGGATTCATCTGTCCAAGGAGGATGCTACTTGGGAAAATGCAGAAGAGATGGGGAAGAAGTTTCCCACGTTTCAGCCATGAGACATGACTGAAGAAAAGAAAGGAGTAGTGTAATAACCGAATAAACGGATTTTTAAATTCGTGAATAAAACGGCGTCATCCAACTTATATAAGCGTGAGCGCGCTTTTATGTTTCAGTGTTTTATTAAATTTATTAGTGAAAGTAGAACGGCGTCTTATTGAGAAGATCAGAAGAGTAGGCACCCGTGATCTGCATGGGAAGCACCACACACAAACCCCCGTTCCCTCACATGTTGGCAGTATAAGAAGACAAGGAGGGAGCTAGCTGACAACTTTGGTCCATTTCCTGGTAATTCTCAGGTTAATATAGATTAACTTTATATTCTAGAATTGTTCTAATCAACCCTAGAATATTAGAGCCGCCGCCATTGTTAAACTGAGGAGTTACCATTATTGCAGGTTTTATCATTTTTAGAGTTTGAAGATTAAAGATAATGAGGAGTTCATAATAGTCGCTAGAATCCACCAGGTGCCGAAGCGTCTGAGTTCTTTCTTTTAGATGAATCGTGCAACTTTTAAATTCATTTTTTATTTCATTTGATGAGCAATTTTTAATTGGTTTAAGTTATAATTCATGACTCAGTCTTTCAATTCAATTGAGTCTTTCATATATGGTTTTTGGATTATATTAGGCTTTAATTTTATATGTTGCTCGATGAAGTAAATGTTTGTTTGGATATATTTATACGTGTATAAAAGTAAAAAAAAATAATAATAAAAAAAATGAATAAAACTCGGATTGAACCGGTCCAACCGTGACCCGAATATCTAGCCGATTTTGTGCCCGGTCCAGTTTGACAACAATGGTATATATTATACGGGTAGAAATAAATTTTCACCTGATTATATGCCGATTTGTACATTGCCGTTCAAATAATTGTTACTCACATTTCTCCCTAAACTCGATTATTAGTTGCACATTGCTTATTTTCGTTCAAATTTGGGCGAAACACTAATTACAAATGTCAATTTAGTTTTTAGGGGTAAAGTGCAACCAATTTAATAGTTAAGAGCACATCTGGTTCACACTCTATTTTACAATGATTAATGAGTTATACTCCCCAATGTCCCACATGATATTTGCACTTTTTTGAGTTATACTCGTATTCACGCACATAAATCAGAAAGTATAAGTGGTTCTCTACTTCCGGATAAAAAAGAACTTCAACAAACTTTACAATAGTTTATAGATTTGCAGAACGATTAGCCATGCCTACGGGTGGCCCAATAGTAACTCTTTCTCAAAACTCCAACAAACTTTACAGTAGCAGACAGATTTTCAGAGTGACTATCTAAACCTACGACCTATTGTAACTCTTCCTCTTGGAGAAGAGCTTGTGACACCCATAGCTAGAAAACAAGATAATAAAACACATTAACATATTGAAAAAAATGAAATTAAAAAACTAAATGAAATTTTAAAAAAATAATTAGCTCGTTGAAGAAATGAGACAAGACGACTAAGTTTGACTTTGATTTCATATAAAAAAAACACCATCTCTTAATTCGTTCATAAAAGCACATAAGCTAAGCATCACATAACTAATGGTATCACATTATATTAGTGTGCATAAATGAACGGCAATGAAATCATTCTTTGTTAATTTTGATATACATCTTCTGAATGAGTTTTATATGATTTTTCATTTGTGTTGGGTCAGATCCATTAGATTGGAATCAAAACACTTTTGAAATAAATTAATATTTCTTTTATGTAAAAAGTTACTGAACTACTTAATAATTAAGTATATCAACAATAAGGTTACCAGACCCTATTCACACAAACATGTCGATTCAAATGTTACGATCTGATTAGGTCTTTACAAGTCGATCTATTCTTACGATTCACGATTTGATTGTTACGGAATTAAATTTTATTATTTGTATGATAAGTTTTAATTAAAGAATATTGGACTTTAATAAAAATAGTTTTTTTTTTTTAAATTACACGGGTTGAACTGCAATTCTTTATATTTTTATATTTATACATTGTGTTTGCAGAAAATAATAAACTATTGTTAGTTAGTTTTCAATAGTTTATTGTGGCCCATCGGTAAGGTCTCTTGTTCATTTCAATTGTCGCAAATTTAAATCCCGCCAAACACATTTTTGGGTGAGTTCTAATGCCCTTGGTTGAATCGACGGATTGAACCGGCGGTTCACGGGACTATAAATTTCACAAGTTGCATATATAAACATCGGAATCTATTATTTTGTTGGGGTGCCCCTTGGGATGGTTGCTTCATTTGGAATAAAGGTACAACCAATCACAATTGGTTAAGGAAGGTTAAATTCTTTCGCAATTGTTGAATTACCGTAACCTAGTGCTTGACGATGAATGCAAAAGAGATATTATTGTTGACAATGAGTTCATGGTTTTGGCTTTTGGTAATAATTCCAAGTGTGTTGATACATATCGCATTGTTTTTGTGTGGCTGATTTATTAATTTTGTTCTTAACAATCGCGTAAGGTTTTCGTAATTTTTTTTTTCTTGTGTTTATTGTTTAGGGCTAGATTATTGGTTGCAAAATATTGTGATGAGGTTTGCACTTTGATTTGGAGTGCATCGGCAACACCACCGTTGGTGTGCATTTTAACTCATTTGTCGTGTTGAGAAGTGTGATCAACATCTTTATTTCTATGCTTTGTGAATTTTCCATGCTTGTATTTCTCTTCGTAAGTTTTAATTCTTTTTTTTTTTTTTCCACATGTTTTGCTATTTGTGTACCACTATTTAAGATTAAGCTTCTCACAATATTTTTTTCTCCCACAACATTTTTTTTCTAGGGTCCATTTTATTGGATAACCCCTTTTACGAAGTAAAAGGACTATATTGTCCTGATATACGATTTTTTTCAAACTTCATTCAGTATTTTTTATAACTTGCTAGCTTATTCTGTTTTTATAAAATATCTTTTTTTTTTCCTTTAAAAAAAAACTAAAAATTAACGTTTTGTAAAAGAATTTTTTGATAAGCTTACCGTACAGAAATCTATTACAAATGAGTATAGTCATGTTTCCTCTAGGTGTTTGTTCCCTAAGAGGAAAAAGAAAAGGAAAACTAGGGAAGTGGTTTGGGCTTAATCCCATTTTATACCCTCGAAATATAACATTCTGGTACTTTGCATCTTTGAAAAAAATTAATAGCACTTTGCATCCTAGAAACCCAATCAATCATTTACAATAGGGTTGTGCATGGATCGGTTTTAACCACCAACCAACCCATTTTCGACCCATAATTTGTGATGGTTAATCAACCATCAACCGACCCATTTAAGTTGGGTCGATAATGTCAACCAACCCATGTATAGTTGGGTCGATAATGGTTTCTAATATGCTAAAAAGTTGGTTAGTCGGTTAATATCGGCCAACCAACTTTATTCATTAATTTATTATTTATTAATTTTAATTAAAATATTTAATATTTTTAATTTCAAATTTCTATTTAATACATCTATTAAATTGTTGAATATTTACCAAAATCCTAAAATCAATAAATCTAACATAATTACCTAATTTGAACTATTTTAATTTTAAGACATATAGACTAAATATTTGGACGATTATTATTTGTTTAACTATTTATGTTTAATTGCAATATATATGCCCGTAATGTTTTGAATTTTTTATTTGAATATTATTGAACTAGTCGCATTTAATTTATAAAAGATATAGCGTTGTAACAAGTAATAAAATATTAATAAAAAATTAAAAAAATATTTAGATGGATGACCCATCAACCAAACCACCAACCAACCCATTAAATTGGTTTTCAACCATCACCCAACCCATGTAAGTTGGGTCGATAACGGTTTCCAATATTTACCAAAGTTGGTTGGATGGGTTGGGTTGGTTTTATGGCTGGTTTTTAACCAAACCAAGCAACGCACAGCCCTAATTTACAATGCACCCCGAATTGAATATTTAAATCTTAATGAAGGTAATTTAAATTTTTATTGGCTTTTTATTTCCATGGTGAAAAATAACAAATTAAATTGTTATTTTATTCTACCTCTAACGTAAATACGAGAGTACAAAATGCGAAAAAAAAAAATGGCAACGAATTACTAGGAAAACTACAATTTCTTACATCTGTTTTTTTTTTTTTTTTTTAAACACTAAATTATTTAATTAATGGATCTTTTATTGTAATTGGTGAAAATATTTAGTATAAATCTTTGGGAAAAAAATATATATTTTTCAAATAATTTGATAATAAAATACTTGAAGTTTTTTCCTATTTTTTTTTAAATATCAATTTTTTGAAAAAATATTTAAATATGTTGATAAGATATATTTTTATTTTTGCATTGTGTAGTTTGAAAATGATTGATGAATAATTAAAAAAAAAAAAAAAAAGTTGACATGTGGCATACCAAAAAAAATATATTAAAAATATTAAATTACAGTCATTAGATCTTAAAAAAAAATCATTTGAGGTTCCATAATACTATAGTTTTTAAATAATATGTGATTTCTTTTTTATTTTTTAAATTTTGTATGCTTGAATTTATGTTGGCGAATAGTTTAATTTGTTGTTTCGCACTCTAGAAATAAAATACCAATACAAATTGGAATGACCTAATTAAATTTTAAATATTTAATTTATGATGCAACATGAACGATTTATTGTGTTTTAAGTTGCAAATTGGAATGAGATTTAAGCCAAATGTTTGTAATTTGACCAAAATCAAATTTTCTGCTCTCATTGAGAGTTGAACTCAAGACCTCCCGCTTACTAAACGGGTGCTCTAACCAACTGAGCTATGAGAGCTTTTTGTTCGAGAATGGTAGATTAAGATATATCTACGTCGGACCAGGCAAACACACATGACAACAGTTGTAAATTGCTAATAATTATTGATCCCTTAAAAAAGAGCAAAGTAATTGCGAAGTCCGAACTCCGAAGGAAGTAACAATTCAAAAATCATTTAAACAAATGCACTATTTTTATGTAAATTTTTTTGAAATGATTATAACGTAAAGCTTATATTATTATATTATTATTAGAATTATTTTTATGGGCTTAAATTGTATAAAATTCAAACTTTGGGGGCTCAAGCATATAAACTAATAGATAAATAATATAATAATAATAATAAAAAAAAAAATTGCTATATTTTTTTTCTGTAGGGGCGGCCCCCCCAAGACATATTGTGGGTCCGCCCTGCTTGGAGCATATTATAAACACATATATGTAGCTTGAATTAAGAGTTAAGACTAAAGTCTTCCAACTTAACAAGGTTCGTAGGATAAGCTACAGCGTGAGCAAGACGGACTGCCTTGAGAAAGAGCACAAACGAAAGAACTTGGTTGAAACTAAATAATCTTCAATCAATATCATTTTGCAGAGCTTTCCGTCACCATGCTACTATTACTCTCGTGAATAATTGAATTCAATCCCTCCGAGATTGCAATCAACAAAACATGTTGGGCTGTTCGGGCTTCGCCAACTATCACAATCGGTCGACCTTGAAGTCTCTCCACACTCCACCAAAGGTAATTTCTTGGTCACCATTACGATCAAAAACTATTCTTTCGCAGAGGGAAAGCTACATTTACATTAATTTTCACGCTGCATCTACATTAATATATAAACAATTCATTTTTTCTCAAATTTTCATCCAAAAAATCTTCTTGGTGGGGAAAAAGGAATCCTCTCATTATTGTAAAATTCCATCACAACCGATAACATTAGCTTCGGAGAAAAAAATAGACGAACCGGAATTATTATCGTAATAGAATGGACGATGAATATCTAGCTTGCTCTTGAGTCTTGAACCATATAGTTATATATATGTAGGATTAATTACTCAAATGTATATATTTACAAACGTGTTTTGCCAAAAGCGAAATCATATTCATCATGCATCAACACAACATTCTAATCATACAGTAAGAAAGAAGGAACGAATCATCGAATACATCCAAAAATTTTCTAACCATACCATACAAGAAAGCCCAATATTCAATGCAACATTTTTTTTCGGTCAAGATATATTCAATGCAACTAACACCACAAGCACCACCCACATCTTAGCAACTCTCCAAGCCCATCAAATTTGACTACCTCGTCATTTTTCCACATTTTAGTCCTCCACACCATAGTTTTTCAAGATCTCTCTCTCTCTAGAAAGGTCTAGAGAGAGAATTTTTGTCACCCTCAAACTAATAGCTATCTATTCTTTTTATACTATACTATACTATTGATGATCAAAATTACTATAACTAGACACATTAGTTATAACCAAACACCTCTTGCAATAACGAGAGCTGCTCGTTATTATATTGCATCGTCTGATAGGCAAAATGGTCTTCTTGAAACACTTCGTCCATGTAATAATTCGTCTGAAAACCAAACGGAGTGTTACTTTCGAACTCGCTCCACTTCGGTTCACTTTGAACTTCCTTAAAATCGGGCGATAAAACGTGCTCACGAGAGCTTGTGGTACTCGAGTAGGTATTATTCAACTTAGGTGTGGATTCCGACGTGTCGAAATTCACGTACTCATTATTCATCGGATTGTTATTGCGCGGGAACACATTAGTATTCACATTCGGCTTTTGTTCTTCGTTGTCTGAAAATTGAACCGCCTCTTGATCAACCACATTGTAGTGCTTTTCGAGCGTTCCTTTCTTGTTGTATATTCGGCATAGCACCCAATCATCAAGCTGCAATAATATATTTAATAATTCAAATCATCAATTGCATTCAATAATCAATTTTTATTTCAAATTATTTGTCACTATCAGAATTACCATTAAGCATTTATTATAGTTCTCTCAATTATGCCCTTACTACTCTTAATTTACTGACAGATAATTAATAGAGAAACAATTAACGAGAAGGGGCATTTTAGTCACTTTATGAGATCCTTTTTTGCTTTAATCAATAAAATTATTAATTTTCTTAATACGTGCGTACTAGCTCAAAATAGAAATTAAAACGGGAATAAGGGCAATTTGATTTCATTTTGCATTTTCATTTTCACTGTCATTTTAGATTTTACTCATCATCAAAACTAGACAAAAGAAAAGTAGTGGAAATTAATTAACCAAAAAAAAAGGATTAAAGTGTAAAAAGACAAAATTACCCTCAAATTGTTTGTTTTGCACGGCAGGATCTATCCACAATAGCCAAACGGTATT